GCTTACTCTCTTATGGAATCGTCATCCTGGATGTGATTTAGTCGAGTGTTATCCTTACCCAAGTTGGTTTTGTTTGGTTATCCCCAGTGCAATATGTCTGTTTTGTCAGCATATACATGATAACATTCATACATTCATACATTCATACATACATAATGCATAGCTAAATTAAAATTCATTGCTCATTTACATTCATTGATGTTTTTATTGGCATATTATTTTCTTTGCAGAGTTATGTTATCCTCTCTCCAATAGAGTGTCAATCTTAAGCAGAATAGGTATATCCTTTCAATTTCCCAACTGAGTGATCCCTCATGGAAGAATTTTGCTTTAGCCTTCCTACCCGACTCATTATCTGAATGGAATTTGATCCTCATTTGAGTTTATTTCCTCATTGGATGGTGTCTTAGTTGACATTTTCACTCTGGTTAGTTCCTGGTTTGAATTTGTGGTCCCCGACAACAATGTTATTTTGATCCCTAAAGGTTGTGAGCTCTGGATTAAGAATGTGCATTTATTTTGCACGTGAAGACTTTATCCCCTCAGCAGGAATGTGTTGGTATTTTCCCACGAAATCAAAATTTCATTACCAACAGTGTTATCGTAATCCTTTTTGTATCAACAAGTGGAATACACTTTATTTGAGCAACATGTACTTCCCCAATAAGTCTATTAATTCCAGAGAAGATGTATTTACTCCGATGGATGGTATTCTCTTCATTATGGGAGATAGTTAGTTGTTGAGGTTTTACTCTGATGGATGATAGTCTCTTCGTTATGGGAGATAGTTCGATGTTGAGGTTTTACTCTGATAGATCGTAGTCTCGTCGTTATGGGAGATAATTCGTTTTTGAGGTTTTACTCTGATGGATGGTAGTCTCTTTGTTATGGGAGATAGTTTGTTGTTGAGGTTTTATTCCGATAATTTATAGTCTCTTCGTTATGGGAGATAATTCGTTGTTGAGGTTTTACTCCGATGGATGGTAGTCTCTTCGTTATGGGAGATAGTTCGTTGTTGAGGTTATATCTGTACTCCGATGGATGGTAGTCTCTTTGTTATTGGAGATAGTTCGTTGTTGAGTTTTTACTCCGATGTATGGTAGTCTCTTTGTTATGGGAGATAGTTTATTGTTGAGGTTTTTCTCCAATGGATGGTAGTCTCTTTGTTATGGGAGATAGTTCGTTATTGAGGCTTTACTCCGATGGATGGTGGTCAATTTGTTATTGGAGATAGTTCATTATTGAGGTTTGATCTATACTCTGATGGATGGTAGTCTCTTTGTTATGGTAGATAGTTCACTGTTAAGGTTTTACTTCGATGGATGGTATTCTCTTCGTTATGGGAGATAGTTCATTGTTGAGGTTTTACTCCAATGGATGGTAGTCTCTTCGTTATGGGAGATAATTTGTTGTTGATCTGTACTCTGAGGGATGGTAGTCTCTTTGTTATGGGAGATAGTTTGTTGTTGAGGCTTGATGTGTACTCCGATGGATGGTTCACTATGGGAGTTAGTCCGTCATTGAGGTTGTACTCCAATGGATGGTTGGTCTTTTCAATATGAAAAAGACAGTTCGTTGAAAGATCTTTACAGCGGTTCATCACCCTTTCTAAGTGATATCTTGGTTAAAGAAGAAACTCTTACTGTTCTTGGTGAAATCCATAAGTTGGTAAAGTTTGTTACCCTTTCCAGGTGGAATGCCAGAGTTTTGGAAACTTTTTTTTGTTCTATGTTTTTTTTACCTTCACTCTTGAGTTGGTAGTTCACCATCATTTATTAGTCATCATTTATCTATTTCTCCTCATTTGACTTTACCCTAATAGAGTTGATTTGTTCTTAGCCATAAGTGTCGATGTCAACCTTTATTCCCAACCATAAGTGTTGATGTTAAACCTTTTGTTCCCAGCCATAACTGTTGATGTCAATCTTTGTTCCCAACCATAAGTGTTGATGTCAACTATTTGTTCCCAGCCATAAGTGTTGATGTCAAATTTTATTTCCAGTCATAAGAGTTGATGTTAATCATTTGTTTCCAGTCATAAGTACTGATGTCAACCATTCGTTTACTAGTCTCGAGGTTGATGTTTTCCGTCATCTCTAAGCCGATATTATCTTACCGTTTCTATTCACGTCTTTCGGGTTGGTAGTTTCTGATCTCCTGTGAGTCGATGTTATTCTCTTTTTGCTATATTCTCTATGAGTGGATAGTTCACAATTATTTATCGCTTGATGTTACTCGTCTCCTTTTCCTCATTTTATGAGTTGATAATATTTTGTCTCCTCTTTGGGTTTTATCCCAGTAGAGTTAAGTCTTATTTTCCCAGTATAGTTGTTTTTTCCTCCAATGGAGTTAAGTTCCTTTCCTCCAGTCGAGCCGATAATCCTTTCTTAATGGTTACCTTATTGATAGTTTGTTGCTTGCATTGTTAAGAGTTTTCGTCGTTAAAATCTTACTATGCATTTGGCTTCTTTAATCATGTTTTTGGCTTTACCTATTTATAGTCATCCCTAGATTTGTGTTATTCCCCAGCGATTTACTTTCCTGTTCGAACTCTCTTTTTGGTTCGTAGGTTTTATTTTCTGCTTCCCCAAGTGGTGTTCTGTGTCACCTTTGGAGTTTATCGTTTGTATTCATAATCATAAGCATTGCATGGCATCCTAAGGCAAAAAATAGGGTTTATTTTGTATTTAAGTATCTTCAATCGCGTCGAGACGAAGATTTTAACCTTCGTATCTACGGATAGAAGACACTTAAATAAGGGCAGCTGTTATACCCCGATTTTTGCCCCTAAGATCCTATTATCATCTCATAACATCAATACATAAAGATCACACTTCCAGGTTGGTTATCTCTTTGTGTTTGTTCCCCTATATTTAAGTTTGCTCTCAAGGGATCGCCAAGCACCTTAGTTGTATATTTTGTATATGTGTTGTTAACTAACCTTTAATCAAAATACCAAAAATATTTGCTTTGTTTTTGTATATTTGAGTTTTGTAGGTATCAAGCCAAAACATCCAACAGGCAAAGTTTTTTAGTGATGTTTCTCTCAGAAAATCGATTTCCCTAATTTCTTTTTTGCACTAAAATTTCATTCTTCTGTATACAACCGTTACTCTGCCCAATTTTTGCGAAGACTTAATTCATCTAAAGCTTGGTATTCCTCAGAGGTTTAGTATTTTTGCTTACTTGGTTTCAATCCAAAGAATGAGAACTCTACATTGACTTCTTATGTCAAGTGTTGGCTTCTTGTTGGTTAAACCATTCTTTTCCTTTACTTTTACCTTATGCTTTAGGATAGTCTCATCATTTCCTCCTATCTTCTTTAATTTCAAAAAAAATCTTCTCCATCATTTTCAAAACTCTTCTTGTTTTTCTAACTTGAACCACTTTTATAATAAACTTGGAGTTAGGTCCATACATTTTCAAAAGATTTTCTTAATCAACTTAACCATACTTTGACATCTTTCTCAAGACTAAAAGTCATTAACCTCATTCAAACTATTTTGCCACTTTGGCTTTTTACCTTTAAACTTTTCACAAAAGATTAGACTCTTGTCGATTCTTGTAGTGATGTGAACTACTATACTTTTATGATATATAGTGAAGTGAGATATTTTCCACTTGAGTGTTGAGTGAGGCTTTGTTGATTTTAAAATCCAAGTTATATCCTCCATTTTGAGACGATGTAAATTCTCCTTTCTCATAATCGTGGGTAGTAAGTATGTTTTCTACTCGGATATAGCGATTATGTCTCTTCACTTAAAATAAACCAACACACATGTGTTTTAAATTTTTTGAGGTGAACTACGAGTACCCTGATCCCCTATTGCACGAAAGGTGGTACATAGGCACTAAAAATTCGCAACTGCGGCAGGTGAAAAAATTGTAAAAAAATGCCTCTTTTCCCATCTCCATCATCTATTTTTTGTATATACCTTTTATAGTCAAAATACACATATTTTTAAAGAGGTTCCTACATAGTACCATGGATATTTAGGGTGTTAATACATTCCTTTTGCATAACCAACTCTCGTACCTAGATTCTCTCCCCTCTTTTTTAGGTTTAGTCGCTCTTTTTCTATTTTCTTTGAAAACAATAAAGCACAGTGATAATATTTTTTATTTGATTTGTACGAGTTAAGTCAATCCAATGATTTACTCTGAACATTTTTACCACTACACACAAAAAAATATATTAGAGTTGGAATTTTATCCCCTCTGAGACCTTTTCTCTCTTCTATTTCGCTTAACTAATCATCTTGTCACATTTAAATTCATTTCAGTTATTATTCATCTATCTTTTAAATAGATTGAAATAACGTTAACAAAAAAACATTAAAGTTATTAAAGTCATTCTAATATATTCTGTCAAGACAATTCAATTAACATGTATAGAAACAATCAATCACATAACATGAATTTGTACCCATGACACTATATTTTAAAGTGTGTGTTGTGGGGCATTTTTGCAGATTATTCTCATTCTAGAGAAATGTTATTATTTAATAAAAAAATTTAATATGAATGTAAGAATCTTAACCAATACTAATTTTAAAATACAGGTAATAATTTCATTTTTTAAGTTCTGCACTCCTCATCCATTTCTCTCAATATCATAAATTATCTTAAACAAATAAAGAAAAACATTTCTGTTGTAGTTACTAAACTATTGCAAGTCAAAGATGCCAAATTAGTTAACAAGTATTTATTCATCAACAAAGACAGCACACAATTAACATAATTATTCAATAAAATCAAACTAAATATCTTCAAATGAGCATTATTTCGAAACTCAACAAACCATGGCACTAGCACCTTATGAACTAATAACAGGGACACATATTTTCCACATATTATTTAACAATAAGACATAAACATTAATAATAATAACTCGTAAACACAAGAAATTAAATGTAACTATATCCGTCTGAAATTTATGTCTGTGTCGATAAGACTTGACACTTGACACACCTTCAATTTGAATCGTTTTGCAACATAACTCACATTCTCAACCGATGTGGTTTGAGAGATTTGTAAGTAACAGGTTCAGTAGCCATCTCAGGAGGCGCTGTATTCTGTTTCTGCCCCCAATGTGTCTTACAAGGAACATATTTCAAACTCTGAGCATTCGAACATGGTTTCACCGTATATTGAAACGCATAACACTCTTGCTTCGATCGTTGATTCGGAAGTCCCGGGATACAATTCTTACTAACATCCAATATGTTGGACTTCAACAAACTCCAACACGACGGTTCAAGCGCAGTGAAGTAGTTATCAGCCAGAGACAAGTTCCCATTATTACGTATCCCAGGTAAAACACAAACGCTCTCAGGAACAGTACCATAGAATTTGTTATGCGCAAGATTCAGAAACTGAATCTTCTCTAAACAACCAAATGAAGCAGGAATAGGACCAGTTAAAACATTTTGACTAACATCAAAAACAGTAGCTTTTTTCAAATAACCAATTTCATAAGGTAAACACCCTTCAAATTGATTCCGTAAGAAAAGAACTTCAGTTAAAGTTTTGGCAGCGTTACCAATACTTCTAGGAATTTCACCGACGAATTTGTTGTGTGCGAAAGTTAAGTACCTTGCAGGAGTGGAACCGAAATTCTCAGGTAAACAAGAACTAAACTGGTTGTCGTTGATGAAGATTACGTCGAGATCTTTCTCGAATAGCTTTGATGGAACGGAACCTTGGAGGTTGTTGAACCTGAGGTCTAGGAAAACAAGTTTTTTAGATTGAAGAACTTGATCTGGAAACGGACCGGAAAGTTTGTTGTTACTGAGGTCAAGTTCGTAGAAATAAGGATAACTAGTGATTTGTGGTGGGATTTGGTCTGAGAAATTGTTTGAATTGACATGGAAGAATGTTAATTCTTCTAGTTTGTCTAATATACCTGTGAAGCCTGTGAGTGGTATATTGGTACAGTCTTTACCTGAGAATCTTGCTTGGTTGAAGTCTAATCCAGCAACTGCTTGTTGGTTATCTTGTGGGAATATTCCACAAAGGATTCCATGGAATTTGCAAGTTTCTGTACTCTCGTTCCAGTTATTAGTGTACCCTTTGGGGTCACTAATAAGTGTTTTGAATTTGAGAAGTGCGGCGCGAGCTTTTTCTAATCGGGTAGGGGGACACGGCGGAGGTGGTGGAGGTGGAGGTGGACAGTTATTTTCAGGGGAAGGAGCCGGAGAATAGGCTCCACCTCCGCCTCCGCCTCCGCCTCCGCCTCCGCCGCCTATGATGATTTCTAGTGTTTCTCTTTTTGTTTCTGGTGATAGGCTTAGTGCTTCACTTTCTGAAGATGCTACATGTTCTTGTGCAAGAACTATGGTTTGAAAGTGAAGCAAGAAAGCACATGCTATTGCTAAGAATGAAAAGGAAAGCGAATTGATTTTTCCCATTTTTTGATTTTGAGATATTTGTTTCATGAGATGAATGAAAGAAACGATGGATTGGGACTATATATGGTGTGATTGGTTGCATCTTTTTTGAGTTAAAACATTTTTGCATGACTTTTGGTTGGAGAAAAGTCAAGACTCGTGAACTTGAGGTGTATGATGGATCTAATAAAACAAAAATTGAGCACACTTATGATAAGCTGTTGTGCTTTCTTTTTCTATGGATGACAATTTTCATTATTTAAATTACTATTGGTTAGTGTGATCTCTTGGAGGGTAATCAAGTCTCAAATAATTGGTATTAAGGAAGTGGACAAACTCATCTTATGTGGGCTACCATGTTAATTTTTAATTGTTGGTTGCTTTAATACATGACTTTTGTTAAGATATATTTAAATAAATTTTTAAGGAAATATTACACTTTATACATCAACTAGTGTGGTATAGGTTGATTCAAGATAAGAATAATGTAAAATATGTAGAAGCTCTAGAATACTTGCTCATTTTTGTTCAAGATAGAAAAAGATAATTTGTTTTCCTTTATATCATAAGTTAGAAAATTAGTAACGTCAAATATATAAAAAAATGTTATGATGCATGAAATAAAGAGTATAAACAATTATACTAAATAGTCTAAAATAAACTAGTGTAACAAAATCACAATAGGAATAGAGTTGTCATAGCCCTCTAATATGTTGCACCAGCGTTCTTCAATCTGAAACAAAATATTTTCTAGAGTATGATAAACGTTATTTTTTTTTCCGTGTCCTTAGGAATCATCTTAATTTGATTGTATCCGGAAAATTCATCCATGAACGTGAACACTTTGAATCTTGATGTGCTATCTACCAACATATCAATATGTGGCAATGAGAAATCATCTTTTGGACTTGTTTTATTCAAATCTCTATAATCAACGCACATGCAGACTTTTTCGTCCTTCTTAGGTAATAAAATAATATTGACAATCCACTAAGGATATACTGATAAGTGAAAATTGTAGTTATTTTTGTATATATTTTTTGTTGCACTTATCGACTATTTATTGTTAATATCGTTGAATAAACCTGACTTTTATGTAAATACGTTTAGTTTGTGTGTATTTGTATTTTTGTGTATATAGTGTACCGTTTGATGTTTTTCCATTCATTTTGTAGGTATTTGTTGCATTTTGGAGCATCGAGGAATAAGGTGTCAAAGGCACGACTCTGAATGCGCGCTTTCAAAATAAAAGACCAGTTTTAGGACATTTTTTCCAGAAGAGCCCGCTTAGCGCATGGAGGCCGCTAAGCGCGGGTGCGCTCAGCACATTTTGTAGTGCGCTGCTTGCGTTTGGACAATTTGGAAGAACCAATGCTTTGAAGCCCGCATAGCGTGGATAGCGCGCATAACGCGGTTTAGGGTGGTTTAGTGTGTAAAATAAAGAAGTCGCGCTTAGCGCGCCAGACCCGCTTAGCGCGGTCTGCTGAGATTTGTTTTATAACTTCATTTCATTCATTTTTTAGGTTATGGTTTTATGGAAGTTTTTGCTCCCAACTCCATCAACCTTCAATTTTATTAGGATTAGCTTAGATAACAACTATGGAGCTTGCATATAGATGATTCGGGTTGGATTTCTCTTCGATCAACACTGACAAACCGGTAGATTTATGGTTCATTTCTCTTTTTCTTTGTGTATTCTCTATTGGTTGGGTTTGTATATATATTTTCTTTGAACTGATGTATATTTGTCGCCCTTGACGTTATATTAAACTTGCATACAAATCTTTGTGGATTGTTGTCCTAGATTTTTACTCTGTGTTAGGGATTTGAGTTGTTATAGACATATACTACTTAGATTCTTATCTAGGATGATTATCTAATAGTGTCTAAATTCTAGAGATAGATTTAGCGTTGTTATTCACTTAGGGTTTCTGTGGTTAATGCCTCTGTGTTGTTTGTGTCGCTTTGAGAGATCGTCGATGCAAGCGAGCATTGTTGACTTCTTTGTTGTTAAGGTGTTTGAGAGATCACTACTGAGATGATGCAGTAGGTCTCTTAATTTGTTAGAAATGACTTAGGTTGTAAGTGACATGTGATGACATTAATGAATATCATAAGTTTAGTATAACAGGTCGATAGATTTAAGTCTGTGAGCAGTAGTATATATGCATGCTTGATACGTTATTTCTTTTTCCTTTTTATACATTTATTTTCTGTTAATACTTTTCTTTTCAACCCATTTAAACCCAAACTCATTAACAAAAAATTTATCGAATGAAGAATCAATAACCAATCATTGTAGACACGATACAATATAACCTAAATATCACTCGATAAATTAGTACTTTACTTTTATACTTGCCGCTATCCAGCAGCAACAAAAACGACGCCGTTGCCGGAGATTGGTGTTTATTGTTTTCGTATTGTGATAAGTTTCTTTGTTTTTGAGTTTTGTAATTAATGTATATGTTGTATAGAATGTGTACATAAATTTGTCTATTTTTACTTGTACATGTTTTATGTTTATTTTCCATACTTGTGCATATATGTGTTTTTCTTTGTTTTCACGTATTGTTGTGAATTGTCTCGTTTTTGTAACGTTTATTGTGCACCAGTGAAGTTTTTTTAAGTGTTCACTTGGTCGTCCTTTTTTCCCATTTCCACCTATTCTTTAAATAGTAAATAATATTAGTATAATTAATTAGATTGTTGTTGTTTGGACTCAAATTTTGGTTAGATAGTTTGAAGTCGCATTTGGTGATTTTTTAATTTTGAGTGTGCCAACTTGCGAATGCATGGTAATGATTGTGTTAAAGTTTTGTACACGTTTGATGTATGTGTTTATCACTTTCTATACTTTAGCATATTCTTGATACTTAGAATTTTTACAATTTTTATGTCATTCATTATTTTATATATTTGTTTATTTGTGAATCACTTTAGTTCCTATCCTTTTTGTGAGGTAGCTTTCTATTGTTCAAATATGTTGGAGGCCACAATTTTTGTTTTAACTAGATTTTATTATGTTTAATATTTAGTTTGTGTTAATTGTATGAAAGCTTGAATGTGATCAAGACAATTTTTGTTTCATTTTGAACACAACTACCTTGGCCAAAAAGTAATTTCATCTTATGAGTGTGTGAACTTTTTTTAACCCCTTTGAGCTTTTTGTTGATATCCATGTTGTTTTTGCTAAATGCTTGTCTATGAGTATTTGGTTCATCTTTTTGTATGGATATTGATTCTTTGTTTTCTTGAACCCTCAACTATGATTTTTAGTTGAACTTTTACCTTGTCTTAGAAAGTAGGGAGTATTCAAATTATAATGATGGTTGAATTCAAGTTGGGTATAAGAATGTTTATGTGCTTATGTGTATTACTACGAGGTTGAGAAAGAAAGAGAAAAAAAATGAAAAAATAAAAATAAAAAAAGTGAAAAAAAGTGAAAAGAAAAATAAATAAAAAATTGAAAAAATCTTTGAAAAAGAAAAACAAAAAGAGTTTGGAATAATGTTGTGTTAATAAGTGATGTGTGTTAGTTTGAAATTTAGAATAAAGAAGAAGTTTGATTGAAATTATTTTGCTTGAGTCTTTGTGAGTTGATCACTCCCTTAGATTTAGGCAAGTTTTTATTTCGATTAGCTTTAGGAATTATCCCTTGTTTATTAACCAAGCCACATTAGAACCTTTAAAAACCCTTGAGATTCTTGCCTTTGTATTTTCAATATGAGTTTTTGGATGAATGCATAATTTAGTCTTTTGTTTGCAAGATTGTGGATAAGTGAAAATACCTTATTTTGTATGTTTTTCATCTATCGATGATTGTTTTTGTTAGGTGTGATTCATTTGTGAACTGTATTGTTTTAGAATGTTTAGCATGTTCTTTGTATTTAGAATTCGTTTTATGTTTATGTTATCTTCGTAGTTTAGTGGTAAACATGTTTCTTCGTTTGTATCGTTTTTCATTTGACCAATTGCATTTGTTTTCAATTTTCAAAACTTGTTGATTCATGATATTTTGGTTGGTTACTTTTGATTCTTTGAGTTGTTTGGCCTTGTTTGAGGACAAACAAGTTCAAGTTGGGGAGAGTTTGATAAGTGAAAATTTTAGTTATTTTTGTATATAATTTTTGTTGCACTTATCGACTTTTTGTTGTTAGTATCATTGAATAAACCCGACTTTTGTGTAATTACGTTTAGTTTGTGTTTTATTTGTGTTTTTGTGTACATAATATATCGTTTGATGTTTTCCCATTCATTTTGTAGGTATTTGTTGCATTTTGGAGTATAGAGGAATAAGGTGTCGAAGACACGGCTCCGTATGTGCGTTTTCGGAATAAAAGACCAGTTTTGGGACATTCTGTTTAGAAGAGCCCGCTTAGTGCGCAGAGGCCGCTATGCATTTTGTAACACGCTTCTTGCATTTTGGAAAATTTGGCTTACCCAATGTTTTGAAGCCCGCTTAGCACAGATAGCGCGCTTCGCACAGTTTAAGGCGGTCTAGTTTATAAAATAAAGAAGTCACGCTTAGTGCGCCAGGCCCGCTTAGCGCAGTCTGCTGAGATTTGTTTTATAACTTCATTTCATTCATTTTTTAGATTATGGTTTTGGGGAATTTTTTGTTTCCAACTCCATCAACCTTCAATTTTGTTAGGATTAACTTAGATAACAACTATGGAGCTTGCATACGGATGATCCGGGGTGGATTGCTCCTCGATCGACACTGACAAACTGGTAGATTTGCAGTTTATTTCTATTTTTCTTTGTGCATTATCTATTGGTTGGGTTTGTATATGTATTCTTTGAACTAGTGTATATTTTTCACCCTTGGCGTTATATTAAACTTGCTTACGAATCTTTATGGATTTTTGTTCTGGATTTTTACTCTATGTTAGGGATTCGAGTTGCTATAGACATATACTGCTTAGATTCTTATTTAGGATGATTATCTAATAGTTTCTGAATTATAGAGATATATTTAGCATTGTTATTCACTTAGGGTGTCTGTGATTAATGCCTCT